TCTGCTAACATCCAGAAAACAAAGTCAATACAAGAGTGGGTTCAGAGGAAGAACGACGACGTCACATTCATTCACAAATAAAGGCACTGCGTACCAGTACCCACGGAGGTCAGGGGAGGTCAGAGGGCAGGGGAGGGCGGAGGTCAGAACAGGGCAGAGGTCAGGGGAGGGTGGAGGTCAGAAGAGGGCAGAGGTCAGGGGAGGGTGGAGGTCAGAAGAGGGCAGAGGGCAGGGGAGGGTGGAGGTCAGAAGAGGTCACAGGTCAGGGGAGGGTGGAGGTCAGAAGAGGTCAGAGGTCAGGGGAGGGTGGAGGTCAGAAGAGGTCAGAGGGCAGGAGAGGGTGGAGGTCAGAAGAGGTCAGAGGTCAGGGGATGGTGGAGGTCAGAAGAGGTCATTGGACTCCCTGGAACTGGAGTTATGAATAGTCAGTTATGAATGGTTATGAGCCGTCATGAGGGTGCTGGGAATTGAACCTGCTCCTCTACAAGAATAGCATGTGCTCCTAACTGATGAGCCATCTCTCCAGCCCCTAATTCACAAATGAAAAGGACCACTTCATGTGTATTTATCTCCTCCTTAGCATGCATTTAAAAGAGGTGTGGGGTGAGAAGAAGGAGATGCTGTCTGTGGAGCCTGAGGATGACACGTTGGAGCAGGACATGGCGCTATCCCTGCCCAAGCTTTTTCCATGAACTGATCCAAAGTGGCCACTGTCTTTACATCATGACCCTTGACCCTCAAGAAAAAGACAGTGACTTACTACTGGCATCTCAGACAGGAAACTCACAAGCAGCACATCTGTGGGCTTCCTGTGCTGGAGCACCTGCCTCTCAGGACTGGCACCCTGGTCTCACAATTGCCTGGGGGGGGGGGGGGGCGGGGTGTGTGTGGCTTTGCACCTGCCTCTTCTGTGAAACTTGGACAGTCGGCAGCAAGCAGACTCTGCAGAAAGAAGCAGGGAGATGTGTTCATTCTGCTTCCTTCTGCCCTGCCCACAGGGAACAGAAATGCCTTCACTGGAGAGCACAGGCAGCCCGGCTTCTGTGGAGTTTCCTCTGAAAAAACAGGTGTGGGGAAAAGAGATTGCAAGCGATTTATAGCAAATGATCTAATTATGAGAGTTTGGATATTTTGGTGGTATGTCCAGAAAAATTAAATTAAACTCATAATCCAAAGTATGACGAGTCTAAAGCTTCCCCAACGGACAGCAGACTAATTAAACTTACAAGAGAGCACTGTAAAACTTACCAGTGACATACCTCTCCACCACAGCTTGGGATTTTTAAAATTCTAAATCCATTTGTTCTTTTTGCTTTGCAATTTTTATCACATCTTTACCTGTGCCTCGTCCCTCACCACATACAGTATTCTGCATCATCTTGTTAAAAAATATGTCTTAGCCAAGCCTGGTGATGCAGGCCGGTAACCTGGGGAGGCTGAGGCAGGAGGATGGCAAGCTGAAGGGATGCCTCAGCTACAGAGCAAATTCAACTAGCTTGGGCAACTTAGTGAGACATTGTCTTATAATGAGAGGTAAAAAGATGGGCAGAGATACAGATCACTGCTACAGCACTTGCCTAGCGTGCGTGTGCTAGGCCCAGGGTTCAATCCTCAGCACTGAAAACGAAAACGGAGAAGAAAATAAATATGATAACTTTTGCTCAAATGGTAGCCACAGGCCACATGAATGCAATATTTAATCTCATGAACTAAAATGTGCAGCATAGCCTCCCCATCACTCCAGCCACACTGCAAAACCTCATAGCCTCATGAGCCCTGGGAACATCGACATCATTGCAGAATGCTTGGTTAAGCAGAAATTCTTCACAAACAAGGAGTGTGCAAGAAACCACAAGACAGTTGTCAATAATGTCTTAATATGTCTGTGGTCTGAATCATTTCCCAGAATTGCTCTAAACCGCAAGAATAAAATGTATCGTGAATTCAATAGTTCACAGAAGGCCTGCTCTTTGGTTTTAGCTGTGGTCTGTTTCTTCTTCCTCACTTCTGTCTTGAATTTGTCCACTTCTACGGTCACATGGCTAGATGGTGGACAACACAGGGAAAATGGTCCTTCTAAGCTAAGTATTACAAGGGCAAGAGTGGAGAGGTGGGTCAAGAAGAAGCTTCCTTGAGGGGGTTCCCAGCCTCTCTAGTGAGGACTGAACCTAGGGTCGCACACGTGTTAGGTAATTATTACGCCACTGAGGTATTTCCCTGGACCCCTTTTTAGTTTTTATTTTGAGACAGGGACTTTCTAAGCTGCCTAGGCTGGTCTTAAACTCTTGATACTTCCTGCCTTAATCTCCCTAGACTTGGACCTGTCTGTGCTTGTTGGGTACATCTTTAAAGCTGTGCTGAGACAGAGGCTGAAAGCATGGAGCAAGAGAAATTATATCAGCATGCCCAGCCTGTAGGGACAGCTCAGAGATGGTCTTTCCCTCCAGCTGACCACTGGCAGTCCCCACTGGCTATCGCCCTTGCCCAGAGGCTGGCATCCGCTGAAGAGAGATGCCTCTAGGTGAGGCGTTTTCTCCAGGGGAAGTTTACATCCAATACCCGACTGATAGAATCATAGAGTCCAGTCTCCTCTTGTTCAATCTCAAGGTCTGTGCAAGCTGTAGAATGCCATGTAGAGTCACCATTTGTTGTGACTGAGTCTCAGTCTAGCTTGTCTTTGGCCAATCCTGTGCTTTCCTTCTTCCTTCTGTAGCTCTCGAGATGAGTCCCTAGCAGTTCCCTTCATCATCGTTCTGTCTCCACATCAGTAGTCCACAAGCCTTGGAACTGATCTTTACACACACATGCACACACAAGCACATGAGTGTACACACATATGCATACACACACATATACACACACACAAGCACATGACTGCACACACAAGCACATGAGTGCATACACACATACACACACAAGCTCATGAGTGCACACACATGCACACAAATATACATGTACACATGCATAAATACACACATAGGAATAACATAGTTTACAATATTAATAGATCAAAAGAAAAAACATGGTCTTCTGGTCGGGCCGAGCTGGTAGCTGGGTTTGTTGAAGGACATCAGCTGTGGAATTTGTGATTTGGGCAAAGATAAAAGTCATGGCTGGTCCAGAAAGTATGGCCAATTCCAGTTCACTGGTATTAAAAAGTGTTTCAACTCTTACACTCTCACAGGTAGAATGAATTGTGTACTGGCCACATATGGAAGCATTGCTTTGTTGGTCTTATACTTCAAGTTAAGGCCTAAAGATCCCCAGTTGTGAAGGCAACACAAATGGATTTGAAATGTCTGACCTCATCTGTTAGTCCCATGCCTGAAGAAGCTGATGTCAACTCATCATGTAATACTCAATTTGTACAATAAATTATGAACCTGGAAAAAAAGAAAGAAAAAACATGCAATTACCCCAATCACCATTAAAAGACCTTTTAAAATAACTCATATTTTGATAAAAAAAAAAAAACTACAGTTAGTGAAATAGGAAAGCACAAAGTGTGTATGAACTGATTTAAAAATTTATTACTAATAATCAATATCAGTCTTAGTGATACTAGGTATTCTATTCTTTTAAATTTTTCTTTTTTGTTACTTCAGTACTGGGTATATAACCCAGGGCCTTGTGTACTCAGGTAAATGTTCTATCAATGAGTTACACACCCCTAACCTTTGATGTTTTGAGATGGGGATCTTATCTTTTTCCCTTTGTTTTTTTTTTTTGTTTTTTTTTTTTTTGAGACAGGGTTTTTTCTTTTGTAACAGCTCTGGCTATACTTTTTAGACCAGGCTGGCCTCGAACTCACAGAGATCCACTTTCCTCCTCCCCTCAAGTGCTGGGATTAAAGGCGTGCGTCACCATGCCCGGAGAGATGGGGTCTTCTTAAGTACCCTAGAATGGCCTTAAATTTGTCATCCTCTGTCTCAGCATGAAGACTAATTTATAGTAAGAGAAACCCTTAAAGAACAAAAGAGAACTGAAGATTAGCAGTAACCAATTCTAGGACAGAGTGAGACTTCAGGTCCCAGACCTTCCTTCCATTTCTTAGCTATGGCAGCATGTTTGATGCTGCTGACCCTGCTGGACACAGACACCCCTTGGTCACAGTGATCGATTCCATAGGGGAAATGCCAAGACCACAACTGCATGGAAAATGGTTCTCTTTTTTTTTTTTAAAGAAAATTTTCTCATTCATTTCACACACCAATCAAAGATCCCCCTCTTCTCTCCTCCCACCCCCCAGCCTCCCACTCCCAACTCACCTCCCACTCCCCGCCACACAAGAAGGCACATTCAGTAGAGGTAAGTCCAAGCCCCTCCCCCTGCCTCAAGGCTGCACGAGGTGTCCCATCATAGGTAGTGGGCTCCAAAAAGCCTGCTCATGCACCAGGGATGGATTCTGATCCTACCACCAGCCTCCCTCCCCCAAAGCAGATCAAGCTACACAACTGTCTCACCATGCAAAGGGCCTAGTCCAGTCCCATGCAGGCTCCACAGCCATTGATCCAACTTTTCATGAGTTTCTACTAGCTTGGCTTGGTTGTCTCTGCAGGTTTCCCCATCATGATCCTGATGCACTTGCTCATAGAATCCCTCTTCTCTCTCTTCGACTGGACTCCTGGAGCTCTGCCTGGTGTTTGGCTGTGGATCTCTGCATCTGCTTCCATCAGTCACTGGAGAAAAGCTCTGTGAGGACAGTTAGGATATTCACTGATCTGATCACTGGGATAAGCCAGTCCAACACAATAAAGGCAATTTACAGCAAGCCAATAGCCAACATCAAATTAAATGGAGAGAAACTCAAAGCAATTCCACTAAAATCAGGAACAAGACAAGGCTGTCCACTCTTCCCATATTTATTCAGTATAGTACTTGAGGTAAGACAGCAAAAGGAGATCAAGGGGATACAAACTGGGAAAATGTTTCTGTCTCTTTAAGCCATCATCATCCGGCCTTTCTCTCAGTTTCCTGATCTCTGAGACCCAGGCAACTCAGTGACTTCCTCTCTGCTCAGCCCTCCGCACAGAGACTTCTGCACTCAGAGCTGAAGGGAAGGCAGGAGGCTGGGGCTTCTCTGGGCCACTTCAGAGTCTATCACCAAGAAAGGTGAGCCTGAGCCTGTGAGCTGGGGTGGAGAGGGGGCTGGGCTGTGAGACCCAAGTATCTGCTGCCTACCCAGCGCATTTTACAAAGCACCACGCAGGTACACAGCAGGCATGCAGCACAGACAAGAGCAGACTTCCAGATGCTTGAGGGATGGTCTGGGTTTCACCTTGAGCAAAGTCGGAGGAAGTCTTAGGAGTACACACATTCTTGAGGAGCAGACTTGTTTCTTCCTACACTTCTTTCATCCGGTAAGAGAAATCTGTTCTAGATTCCCTTCCAGGAACAAAGCGCAGGTTAGCCAACACCGTTCCTCAAACTGCACTTTCAGCGAAGGCCAAAGATACTCCTGGGTCCCTATACACCACTCTTTCGAGGCCAGTCTCTATGTGCCAAGTCTGCGCCCCGCTGAAGTCTCTTATCCTCACCACCTGTAGGAGGGGGGCTCTAACAGACCTCAGAGAGTGGAACTTGTTCATCAAGCCCTGTCCCCACCTAGCATTTAAACCTTTGCTTCCTGATTCAAGTTTGTCCCACTCCAACTGCAGAGACCTTGGTTTCTTTATGTCTACAATGAAGAGTTTATGAAATAGCTCGTTTTCAAACCTGGATGTGGATTAACTTCATGAGAAATGTACCACTTGTACCAGAACCACTGGGGATGGGTTCAAGAAATGTGATGTTGAGGGGAACACCTAAATATTTTTGAGAAACATCAAGCCTGGAGGCAAGGAACCAGATGACTCTTGAGTTCTCTTAAGCATACAGAATCATTCATCCTTTATATTCCCAGATAATAAAAACCATCTGTCACCCAAGATCTTACCCAGTGTTTATTTTTCTCTTAAAAACCATTGAAAATAACATCTGCTTTCACTATGAACTCTGGGGATTCCTGGTGGCCTCCCCTGGAGACCCCTGGAGTCCAGCACACACTTCCTCATTTTTCTCCAGGACAAGGTCTTCAAGCTCCTGCAGAAGTCTTGTTTCTTGCCCTCAGTCTTATGGTTGTTTCTTCGTTTCTGCATCGTTTATGGGAATTTGTCGATTTCTGCACCCAGAACAGTGACACAGAACCACACAGAGCGTTCATCTAAAGGCTTTGGGGAGAGAGAGGGAGTGTTAACCCAACCTGTCCCCAAAGCCCCTCTTCGGGAGACAGGCTGTTGAGCTAACATTTCCCCTTTCTCAGTGTGTGGTGCCCACCGGAGGGAGTGTGGGAGGAAACACATCACCCATAGTGGAGACAAAGGGATTCTGAAGTGATGGAGAAATGCAGAGAGACGCTCAGACAGAACGTGGGGGCAAAGCTCTCACCAGAGAAAAGCCAGAGAGGGCTGGAGAGGCCGAATCTAGTGTATGTGCAGCCACAGGCAGAGGCCTGTTAGCTGGAATGAGATTGGCCCAGCAGACTGAGGGGACACTGTGCTTTTGTGCTTAGGGACTCCTGGGATCAGGCACATGGGACCAGAGAGTGCTTGGTTCTATCAAGTAGCGCTGCAGTCAGAGCATCTTCGGTGGAAGGGAAGCTGCTTAAAGAGAAGGGCTCAGAAACGGGTAAGATAACTTTGTGGAGTTGGTCCTCTCCATCTACCTTTACAGGGGCAGGAGAGCAAGCTCAGGTTGTCAAGCTAGCACTGCGACCATCTTCCTGGGCTCCCCAGAAGCTGTTCCTCAAAATCCAGATGCTATCTCTAAGAAGGAATAGCAGATTTTACTGTGGTGGACAAAAGGCACCCACCATGTCCCTAGACACCCGCCAGTCCCCCAAAGCATACACCTGCATGTTCAATTCCTTATAGACAGAAGCCTTACTTTGTCTCCCTGAAGTCCCCTGTTCCCTGGACTCTGCCTGATGGTGTGGTTGGGTGTTGCCTGTTTGCAGGAATGAGCACATGGATGAGAGTCCTCTGAGACGCATGGGGGGAAGGAAGATGGCAAGAGACGAGGAAAGCGCCTATGGTAAGAGCCCTTCTCTCAAGGTGTCCTGGCTGGTGTGGAGCCCAGGGTAAGAAGTGGGTGGAGCTTCCTCGGGTCTGGAAGCCCCTGGGATGAAACAGCAGGACCTGGGTCCTGCATTTGGCTGTGTCTCTGTCCCTGCCCTGCTGAGAGAAGCTCAGAGCTTTGACCAGCCTGTCACTGGTTCCTAAGCATGAAGGAGGATCCTAAACCTACTCTGGTCTCCACAAAGATGACACAGAGAATGGGAAATCCAGCAGTAGAGTGAGCCTCAATCACCAGGTCTCCAGAACGGGGGACTAACTGGTATTTAGTATTTGGGGATCAGGGAGATGACTGGGTAAAGGCACACACAGCCAAACCTGATGAGCTGATTTCAACTCCTTAACCCACATGATGGGAGGAGGGAACTGCCTCCTGAAACTTGACCTTTAGCCTCCAGAGGACACAGCAGTATGACCTCCTCATAAATAAAATGTAATAAAATATTATCTAAAAGGGGGGCATTCTCTTTAGGGAGCCAGCTTCAGACAAGAGAGGAGGAAGAGGGACGAGGGTGAGCTCTCTTCTCTCACTCTCTAACAACCCAGTTGAAAGCCCCACATTATCTCTGCTTTTGCAGAAGAGTTATATCCTAGACTGAGCACTCCCTGCCCTTACACAAGGAGCACTTGGTGGGCTGGGATTCAACCCGTGTCTGGGACTGAGAGGCTCTCATGTGCTCAATGGCCAGCATGTGAGGGGAACATTAGGGTCAGATCAGCATCAGGTCGGCCTGTGTGTGCAGGACCAGAGACCCTGGTGGACCCAGGAGTTATGATGAGCACCTTCTGAAATGCAGCAGGAGCACCTGCAGGTGCACAGAGAATCCAAATGCAGAGAGGAAAGATGGGGAGGAGCCTGAGCTCTGAGAGCCCAAAGCAGATGGGAGCACCAGGCTTCCAAGGGGAGCAGGCACTGTGGGTCCTTCCCTTTTGTGCTGAAGGCTAGAACACAGGTGAGTCCCAGGGGAAAGCCATGACTCTGACTCAATGCTGCCATATCTGGTCCTCAGGCTCAGAGGAGGATTCACGGGCCCCACAGATGCCCCTACTGAGGCTCATCCTGGTAGGCAGGACCGGGACTGGCAAGAGTGCCACAGGTAACAGCATCCTGGGCCAGAAGTGCTTCCTTTCCAAGCTGGGGGCTGTGCCTGTCACCAAAGCCTGCTCCTGGGCCAGCAGGAAGTGGGCTGGCTGGCACGTGGAGGTGGTGGACACCCCAGATGTCTTCAGCTCTGAGGTCTCTCAGATTGATCCCACGTGCAAGGAGACAGCCCACTGCTTCCTACTGTCCTCACCTGGGCCGCATGCACTGCTGCTGGTCACCCAGCTGGGTCGCTTCACTACTCAGGACAGCCAGGCGCTGGCCGGGGTGAAGAGGGTGTTTGGGGAGAAGGTGATGGCGCGGACTGTTGTGGTGTTCACACGCAAGGAGGACCTGGCTGGAGAGCCTCTTCAGGATTACGTGCGCTTCACGAACAACCGTGCGCTGCGGGAGCTGGTGGCCGAATGCGGGGGCCGCGTGTGTGCCCTGAACAACCGCGCCACCGGCCAGGAGCGCGAGGAACAAGCTGAACAGCTGCTGGGCCTGGTCGCTGGGCTAGTGAGGGAGCATGGGGGCACGTACTACACCAACGAAGTGTATGATCTGGTGAGGACCCTGCGGGGCGCTGACCCCCAGGACCAACTCACCAAGGTGGCAGAGATGGTGGCAGCACGGATGCAGAGGCCCCTGCCCACCAGGCTGCTAACTGGGCTGTGGAAATGGATGATATCCTACTGGCCAGGCAGGAGACGGGGCGTGACTATCTTCCTGGGTGTAGCCATCCTGATCTGCTTACTGTACCACAGAATGATGCCCCAGGCCATCGGGGACCGGGATAGCAGATAACACTGGTCTTAGAAGATGTTATATCTAGGAAGGAAATCTTATAAAAATTGATTTTTACTTGGAACTCTGCTCAGAGTTCACAGTACCGGGAACAGGACAACAGCTTTGCAAAGGCTGGGAGGTGATGAGCCTCAACTTTAACTATATGCATTCAGAGTTTTAAAAATAAATTTGTCTAACTAAAGCTTCCTTTAGACATTTCCATCGTCTCTGTGGGTCATTCTTCCCTTGAAATAGTGAACACACCTGGTAGCTTGTAAATGGGGACAAAATCACAGCACAAAAAGAACGAGCATTTTCTTTTCTTTTTTATATTTATTCTTTGATAATTCCATATAATATATTTTGGTCATATTCTCTCACTTTCCCCAAGTAAGTCCTCCCAAATCCTCTCCACCTCCCTCCTCTCTGAACTTGATGTTTTTTATGCCTTAACAACAACATGAAGTTGGATTTGTTGGCCAAGTACTCCTGAGCCTGAGGCCTGCCCTGGGATGTGATCGACATGTCCAGTGTCATCTCCTTGAAGAAAACCGATTTTCCTTCTCCCGGGTGTTATAACTCGTGAATAGCTTCTCGGCAGGAGTGGGGGTTTTGCCTGGCTTGCCCTTGCTCAGGTGTTGTGCGTGCCCTCACAGCCTGTGTGAGCTCCTATGTGCACCGCCCTCTTCTGTCTGGTAAACTGTTCTCTTGCAGTCACCCACCACCTCTGGCTCTTACAGTCCTCCTGGCCTCCCTTCCACAGAGATCTCTAGTGACATAAGCTGGCCAGAGATTTCCTTCCTTGTTCAAACCAAAGCAAAGGGTCTGGAATTTTGCTTCCTTAATTAACAGTAACAATGAGAGAAGAGTCCTGAACTCTGAGGTTTCTGAGAGTCTGGCCTTGTCTGAAGAGTTACACCCTGTCAGGATGGATCATGGCCGGTTGATTTCCTCACCCCTACCCACCCTGCACCATCACTGTCTACTGGGTTGAAACTACTTGAAAATGTAAAAGCCAAGGGGTGAATAAAAATCAAAACAAGAAAAAATTCTCTCCAAGGGGAGCAGAGCCATCCCTCAGAATTCTTTCTCTTTTCTTTCTTTTTTTTTTTTTTTTGGTTTTTCGAGACAGGGTTTCCCTGTGCAGCTTTGCGCCTTTTCCTGGAACTCACTTGGTAGCCCAGGCTGGCCTTGAACTCACAGAGATCCGCCTGGCTCTGCCTCCGGAGTGCTGGGATTAAAGGCGTGCGCCACCACCGCCTGGCTCTCTTTTCTTTCTTAACAAACAAACAAACAAACAACAAACCCCTGTGGACCCTTTGTCTCCCCCCCCCCCCCCCCCCCCCCCCCCCCCCCCGCGCTTTGCTTTGAAATGTAGATCTTTTAAAAATCCCTCTTCCTGGCTCACTCCATGGGACACAGGCTCTAACTTAGGTTGAAGCCTGGCTGCACAGCTCTTTCCTCCTATTGCAGAACTTCTTCTCACCCTAAGGATGTGAGAAACTTATTTCCCTCTGGATAAAGACAAAACATAAAACCTGAATCCCTCTGGAGAGCAGACACAGCTGGTCATTACGGAATTCAGGATAAAGGACAATGACACCCATAAAGGGTGCTACCACATCCTCTTGAGGAAGAGCTACGGCTTCTTGTTAGCCTGTCTGACTCAGTGGCCTAGGCTGTCTTCTAACTCAAGGCAATCCTCCTGCTTCAGCCCCCTGACAAACAAGCCACCATGCTCAGCTTGAGTTATATCTTCTCAAATGCTGCGGGAGGCTGTACCTAACTGGTTTTACTCTCTCTCTCTCTCTCTCTCTCTCTCTCTCTCTCTCTCTCTCTCTCTCTCTCTCACCAGTCTTTCAGTGTGTCACCCCCCAGACCCTTGAAAACCTAGTGCTCATAATCTAAAGTCAAGCACACTTTCCCGCCAACAGAAAGCATCATGGGGAATTCTCTGAGATGAGAACCTGTATAAGCCAGAGCTGTGTTTTACGCTCAAGGCTCAATACTTGACAGGTGCCCTCGGGTAAAGAAATGCTTCACCCTGCTCCCAGCCCATCTGAACTTCCCATAGGCGAGAGAGAAACTCCACAATGACCATCTATAGCCCTGTCACATAGCAGAGAAGAGGCAGCCAGCACCCAGTCTCAGGTCTGAGCTCAGCTGCGCTTTGAAAGGGCCTGTCCAGGTCCTTTGGGACCAGCAGTGCTTTTCTGCCCCTGTTTAGGGGACCCAAAGCTGGTGACGCGGAGCCCAGGGGCTTAGGGGAGTGCAGAGTCTTACCCTGAGTGCTAATGGGGAAATCTGGGGCCCAGCACTTTCCAGTCCCAAGAGGGCCTGCTTGAACCTGGGGGAGGGGGCTGTCCCCCACTTCCCGGAGCCTGGCTCCCAATGCTGTGTGTATTCATACCTTCCTGCAGGGGAAGTGAGTAGGGCAGGGTGACAGCTTTCCACAGGAAGCGGCCATTCACCACAGCACTCGTGCTGTGTTCTGGCGGATGTCGTTCAAGGCCTTCCCACCGACTTTAGAGGACAGTCTGCGGGGCAGTGGTGTGTGCTGTGCCACAGTGGCTTTCTTCTTTTCCTGACTGGATTGATGGCTCTGCAAGTGGTCTTTCTGTGAGAGCATCACTCAGCAGGCACAGGTCCCCCACTTGCCTACAAGGGACTCACACTGGTGACTGGAGGCAGCCCCGCCGCCGGCCCAGGTAAGGAGGAACCCACCATGGCTCTGACAGCCACCTAGGGGCAGGGAGGACCACCGGGGAGTCGCTCTGCTTTTCTCTAGCGGGTCCTCAGGGGAGCTCTGGTACTTTGGGTGCCCTGGACAGTGAAGTGAGCATCAACGACAGCATATGGTGGGACAGAGCCCTGAAATTTCCATGCCATCGTCCCTGGGCCTAGGGGGGTGCTGGGGCTTTCCACCCCATTTCCTGTGTCTTTCTGAAACCTGAGAAACTCAAGTCCTAGCGCCCACAGGCTTTCCCCAAGCTTCCCAGCAGGTGGCGCACACTTCTCCATTTTTACCCCAGACTCCTCAAAGCCCACTCAGGCCAGACAGGCCTCACCTCAAGGATATCAGGATAGGTTGTTAAGGCTCTACAGGCCAGGGCGGAATCTCCATGTTCCCTCCCTCATGATCCAGTCCTTCCCTAGAAGACCAGTCGGTGAATTCTATCTTATGATGTTGTTCTGAAAACCACCGAATTCTGTCCAGCCCCGGGTAGCTCATACTTTTCCCATAACACATCCCAAGACACTGCGGTCGGTCAACAGCTTGAGTTCACTACTCACATGAACACTCCCCTTGTCAGCCGAACCTTACAGGAGAGGGTGCTATTTCCCGGACTCTTGGTCACTAACCTGCCCTGGGACTCCAGTACCTGGACATAAAGGAACAGGGGAGGGGCAGATGGGTGCGGTGGATACCAGTGAAAGTGTTTGTGCTTATTTTTAGTTGTCTGAGGGAGCGCAGGCGCACACTGGTGCCACAGGACACCTGTGGAGGTCGGAGGACAACTTTCTGAAGTAATTTCTACCCTTCTACTTGGTGCGAACAGCCTCTTGCTTTGGCCGCACCGTGGGCTGGCTGGCCCCACAGCTTCTGGCCAGCTCTCCCTTCTCCACCGGCTGCCTCACTGTGTGCACGGCTGGCGTTACAGATGCAGGCCAGCATCTCCAGCTTTTCACTGAGTTCTGGGACTCAAAGTCGAGCTTGTGCATCCGTTGCTTGGCCCCGAGTCATAGCTGCCAGCCTGGTACCCGAAATAAGGAAGACAAAAAGACTGTCTCTCAGAAAGCAGCTCCCTGAGCTGCGTTCTCACTGCTGGGTAAAATAAAGTGTCATGATAAATCGGCTTGGCAGCTTTCAGACGAGACTGTTCATTGGGTGCCTTTGCTTCTGCCTTCTTCTCCCTGAGTAATGCCTGCCCCTTGTCAGCCGCTGCTGCGTGCACACTGCCTGCCGATCTCCCATGGCCTCTGCACCCACACTGTGGGAAATTAGCAGAATTTTCGTGTTGGAGGAGAAATCCCCGTCCATTCTCAATCTCCCCACTGTGTGTGCTCTGCAGGCTAACAGCCACATCGCGTCACGTCCATCACACCCCTCCCCTCCCCTTTCGTCTCCTAGGCTGTTGTCAGTCTCTCCGGTTTGGTCTGTGATTCATTTCCGGTCTCCAGCTCCAGCTCCCTGTCTCACCTCTGGGCATTTGTTCATATCTACCAACAAATTGGTCTCTTAGTGGGACATAGGTCTCCTATAGTCTGTCTGATTTTTCAGAAAATGATTCAGAAAACGTCCCTGCTAATGTTGCTGAGTTTGGTTGTGACAGCAACGTTGTACACATGCAAGGGGCACTGAGAACCAAGTCAGGTTCTAACTGAAATCCTTCAAAACAGAACAGACCCCTAATGCAGTCTTATATTTGAATAATTCTTGGGGAGACACAGTGGTATTTTTGTTTTGTGAAAGCATGAACGTAGAAATCGAAGCGCAGTTCTCTGGGTTGATTTTGGAGAGACTTCCAGCAATCAGTACTGGCTTGTGTCCAAAGCATGGGACCGCAGCATTATACAGAGGGTTCCAGGGGGGAGATGACTTCCCCATCTCCCCACTGGTTGAGAAATCCAAGAGCTGACACAGACAAAGGGAGCCATCTGGGGAGAGTTAGCTATAAGGCAAACGTATGACTCTGGGCAGCTCATGTAACTTTAATAAAAATTCCAGTGGCCTGTCAATAACAGCACAGGGAACACAAGAGAAAAAATGGGCATGCAAGAAACCTGGACATGATGAGTGTCTGCAGAGGACCATCACGGTGGGGAAGCTCAGTTTCATCAACACTGACACCATATCCTTCACATTCAAATCTCGGACCTTCAGTAGAAACAGCGTTCTATGACTTGAAGAATTTTCATAAGGACTAGGCCATAGCTTACAGTGATAAGAACAGTTCCTAAGAGATGGTCATGAGAGGGCTGCTCTTCTCTGGGTGCAAGGAAAGAGGTGGAGAAGAGTTCGGTGGGAAGAAGAGGTGGAGGGGGGAATGAGGAGGTGGACAGGAGGAGCAGGAAAGAGGAAGAGAAGCAGGACAGAGGAGGAGAGGGAGATGTCTTAAGATATTCTGAAAATGTGAAAAGAATTGATGGGCTTTTATGAAGAGGTCCAAGAAAAGCCATTTTTTCCTTTGAAAATAAAATTGTGAGAGACAAAATAGCAGAAGCCCTATGCGTAGCACATAAGCAATGCCGTGCTTTCAATTCAGTCCATGACCAGTCCTGTGTCCAGAAGGGTGATAAAAATGCAGTGTGCCACCATGGAACACCTATGGAGATTTGGGGGGGTTCCTGAGATACTGGGGTAAGCAAGAGCTGACTTGACCCACTTAAGAGTTAAACCTGGCCATATCTAGCCAGCAGAAAATGTGTACCCCAGATGAACTATTCAACAGGAGTGCCAAGGGGTACCTATGTGGATTATCTTACAGCATTCTTTGTTGTGAAAAAAATGGTTTCAGAACAGTTTGGATGTCTATTAATAAAAAATGAACAAGACGCTGTGAAAATGGCATATATGTAGAAGTTAAACATGCACAAACAGGACTGAGAATTATCTAAAGACCTAAATACATATGCAAATACTCAGACACATAAAAGTGTCAAAATACTGATTGCTGTGAAGGCCAGAACGAGAGAATGAGACAGGAGATTGGGAGAAAAACAACCAAACCCAAACCCATGAAGTACATCTGTGATGTTTTAATTTTTAACCAGATGGTGCAACTGTGGGAGACCAGCAGACCATTTATGCTTGTTCGGTGCAAACGGCGGCTACTTGTTTTTATTCTGTGTTTTTTAAAGATTTATTGTTACTATTCATCTATTTTTTAAAATCCTATTTTTTCATGTGCATTCCTTCAAGTACGAATACGTTTTAAAACTATAAGCTTTTAAACCCAGCTGACTAACATGAGCCAAGAGTTCACGCAGGGGTGGCTGGTGCCACAGGCTAGCCCTTTCTACTGAATGCTTCTCTTTTCATCCCACCAAAAACCAGCGACACAGCATTACACCACTTTTGGACAGGATATCTATGCCGTGGTTGCTCCAGTTTCTGGCTGAATGTGCTAAAATATAAAAACCATGATTATTTGGTAGAGCAGGACCTCAGAGCCAAGCAGGGAAGATGCTTGGTTAAACTCCCAGTGGGAATTTGATCTTGTCCTGAATGTTGGCTCTTTCCATCATGGTACATGGTACACACACTCTCTCCAGGCGTGTGTGGGGCAGAAGCCTTGTCAGCCCCTCCTGTCCTCCTTCCTCTCAGGCCAGTCCTTGGAGGAGTGGCCATCCTCCATTCCATCCCCCAGAGAAGCATGTTGTATTTGCCTCTTTGCCTCTGGGACATTTCTACATGTTGGAAATGCCTGGTTCTTAAAACAAACAAAAATGTGTTATTCATAGCACAGCAATTATTTTCTCTATCCTGGCAGGTTCATCTATATGGTTCAGTTTTGGTTTGTTTGTGTGTTTTTTAAGTCTAGTTCTTGCCCATAGAAGAATGCTTCCCACGTTTTACACTTTCAGCTTGGTGGAATAATCAGTCCATCTGTAGCAGAACATCTGCTTTCCCGTGAGTGAGGAAAAGCAACAGCACATATGCTGCCACGACCCTACCTCACTCCGGCCAGTTACTTACAGATGTATGAAAGTAAAACACGCTGGGAGAGTTAGCGATGGGAATGACCATGTGCGGACCATTATCCCGAGTCACCTGAGTCCAAGTGTCTGACCAGTTCCCAGGTGGACCTGACTTTAACTTCTTGCCTGTTTTGGTTCCAGAAGAGAATGGAAGGCCTTCAGAGGAGCACATACGGAACTATAGTTGAAGGTAAGAAAGCACCAAGGTCCTAAAGATATTGAGAAGGGGAGGGAGTCACTGTCCCTCACCCCGCCACACCAAAGGTTCACACACTCAGTTAAGATGAAGAAGAAAGAGGCAGCTGCTGTTTTTTCCCCATGTCTCCAAATCTCTTACATACAAGCAGCTGTTGTTTTCATGTACACATACACAGACATACATACACACACAGAGACACACATACACACAGACATATATGCTTTCAAATACACACACACACACACACACACACACACACACACACACTCCACTGTGTCACTCTCCTCCACACAATATGGGGAAACATGACTCTGACATACATTCAGAATTAGAAGGTCTGGAACTAAATAGTGACATAGTTTCTCTTTCTTCTCATCTGGAAAAGAAAGGAAAGAAAGGAAAGAAAGGTCCTCTAAAGTGATTATTTCCCCAAAAACACTAAGGGAAAGGAAAAACCAGCACAGAATAAAAGGAATAAAATAGAATTTTGTTTTCTGTGATACTGAGAATTGAACCCTGGGCCTTATTTGTGTCGAATGGGCATTCTACCACTGAGCCACACCCCAGCTTTCCCCCAAATGATAGATTTTTAGGTGTCTACAGAGCACTTAGAATTCATTTGGACTCATAAGACAGCCCCAGATCCTCATCAAATCTCAATGCTGGAGATTTGAGCTCTTGGCTTCATGGTGTCCCTCCAGCAGTCCTTTTGTTATGGGCCCTGGACCACACCCGGCTGTAGATGAAATTCTAAATGGTCTTATTAACTAAGAAACACAGAGCCAAATGCAGAGTTAAAAGCCCAGAGATCTAGCAGTAGCCAAGAGCTAAGACCACCTTATCTTATCACTCGCTGCTGTCCTTCCCCTGAGAGAGCACCCTTCTTCCTGTGTCCTGTCTTTTTATTGCCTTTCTGTTCTGCCTTCTCATTGGCTCTAAACCCAACCACATGATTTCCTCATCACTGCCTGTCTATACAGACCTCCAGGTCTCTGTGGTTGGTACTGGGATTAAAAGTTCAGGTCACCTTGCTTTGGATGTATCCTTGACCACAGAGACTCTGCCTGCCATGTGATCAGATTAAGGGCATGTGCTACCACCACCTGACTCCTGCTTATGGTTCACTGTGACTTCTGATTGCCAGGCAACTTTATTAACACACAAATAAAATCACATTCCAGCACAAATATCACCATACCTGGCCAAATAGATGACCTTTTTAGCATGTCTACTTCTAAGTGTTTCTAACCATCTTCTCTTCTACCCTTCTTCAGTGTCCCACTCTGTATCATTTCTCAACTTTGACCTGGTATTAACTGTCATCATCCCTCGTCTCAAATCCCACTTTGCTTCCTAGGCTATCAGCTGGCCCTGAGTGTGAGTCACTACAACTCGTCCACCTGAAATAACCTCTGGGGGCATACGCTGAGCACATTTACACAGCATGTCTGGAACATTGTGGGTAAAAGAGGTGACTCTGTTTTGTCACTTATGACTTCTCATCTCTGCCTCTTCTAAACTCAAACTTATTTCACAGCCAGTTTTCTGGGGAGATAGCCTGAGCGTCCTCCAGGGGAGAGCACAGGGACCTGTAATTCAGAAATGACATATTTGTTGTGGGCCAGATGGAACAGAGACTCTCTTTCCTGTGGCAGCCCCAAGAACCACCTAAAATTATAGGCAAACAGTTGGGAACATTTGAATGACACCCATTTTTCTGGGACTGACGACCATTGATTTCAGGAGATATTTGCAAGGACCCATGATGTCAAAGTCCAAAGAATAGCTAAGTGAGGCACAAACCTTCTCTTGTCCACAGGAAGCCGGGGAGTCTACCATGCAGCAGAATCATACTGGCTGAGGATCCTCCTGGTGGGCAAATCTGGCTGCGGGAAAAGTGCCACAGGGAACAGCATTCTCCGCCGACAAGCATTCGAGTCCAGGCTCAGAGCCCAGTCGGTGACCAGGACCAGCCAGGCAGAGATAGGCACATGGAAGGGAAAGAGCTTCCTAGTGGTAGACACACCCCCAATCTTTGAGTCAAAGGCTCAGAACCAAGACATGGACAAGGACATTGGAGACTGCTACCTGCTGTGTGCCCCAGGACCCCATGTGCTGCTGCTGGTGACCCAGTTGGGACGCTTCACAGCCCAGGACACCATGGCTGTGAGGAGGGTGAAGGAGATCTTTGGGGCAGGAGTCATGAAGCACATGATCATCCTCTTCACCCACAAGGAAGACCTGACAGATGAGACCTTGGATGGGTTTGTGACCCACACTGACAACCGCAGCCTGCGCAGCCTGGTCCAGGAGTGTGGGAGGAGGTACTGTGCCTTTAATAACAGGGCCTCAGGGGAAGAGCAGCAGGGACAGCTGGCAGAGCTCATGACCGTGGTGAGGAGGCTGGAGCAGGAGTGTGAGGGCTCTTTCTACAGCAATGGCCTCTTCCTTCATGCCCATGTGTTTCTTAGTGGTGACAAGAGTGAGGATCAGGAAGCCTACAAGTGCTACCTGTCGAAGGTGAGGCAGGAGGTGGAGAGGCAAAAGCAGGAGCTGAGAGAGCAGGAGGTGAGCTGGGTAGCTAAGATGCTTTACAGAGTCAAGACATGCATGGGCCCCCATATTTTCCTTATTGTGTGTGGTTTGATTTTGATCGCCATTTTAATTAACTTCTCTATTACCCAGGGGAACTGAGCCTTTTCAGGTGATTTCTGCCATCAGCCCCCTCCTGCAATGATCACAATCTCTGTTCTGGGGCAACTCAGTTTCACTCTCATTTGACTCCCTTGCATCAGACATGCCAGGATGTTTCTTCTAAATACCATTATGTAAATAAAGTATGAAAGAAAAATGTATTTCTTGCCCATGACCATGTCTGAGCAACAGCAGATGACAACTAATATTCAGGTGTCAGCCTACCAGAAGTTCAGCTCTCTGATGGGAATGTCTCGTTCAAGCAAGGCATATGAGAATACAGACTCCAGAATGTCTTTTACTTATGCTGTGCCTTCATATTGTTGCTGCTACCTGCTCTTCTCTAGTATCTGATATGATGTATTTATACGTGGGGAGTCCCCCATTGCCTGTATTGTAGTGTGTCTATCTCATGATTGCATCTCAATTTAATGGGCATTTATCTGTGGATTGTCAGGAAGATGCTGTATAATTTTGACACAGTCAGGGCCTATTGAGTTCCACTAAAAATCTGTTTTAGATCACAGCTCATATTTATGATTTAGAAAAACATTTGAGTCCAAGAGCCAGTCATAGGTTTCTTGTGCATCATAAGCTGATATTAGGCTTCAAAAGAGCTCTAGATGAGACCAGATGCCTTACTAATGGCTTTTTAGATAAACATTCCCAGTCTTTTAGTTCACAAGGCCACACAACTGTTTGGCTAGGTTGTAAATAAAAAGCCCAATTAATGCTAGCTTACAAATGACTAAGTCCTTGCACCATTCCTAACCTCAGTTTGTGAAAATATGTTCTGATTAGTCAAGGCTACAGAAAATAACTTAACTCTGTAGTCCCTAATGAGGGCTGTAGGTGTTCTTAGATAATTAGAAGTTACACACAATCTTTACCTTTGGAATGTAACCTTTTTATGACTCTTATATTGCCTGAAATAATTATTTGGGATATATAAACTGTAAAAAGACAAGATAAAATGGAGCAACAAGAGAGAACAACATGAGTGTGACAGCATGAGAGAAGCCAATATGAGAGACTAAGGAAGACTCAACATGACAGAAGAAAGAAAGTAACCATCAGAATGCATGTGAATTCATTCCATTGCTAGAAACCCCCTCAGATAAAAGTCCTAAGTTTTGCTACGCTGTGGCTTTCTCTCTGAGCCCTGTTCTGCAGCCCTGGAGTGGGTCTCATAGTCTGTAATAATTACTTCCTTTATGTTGTGAGGGTAAATGGTAAATCACGAAGTTACCATCATAAAGGCCTGGGGACTTGCAAAAAGGAAGGTACTTGTGCTGCATGGCAACGGGTATGTCTCACCTAGTGCCCCACTTCCTACAGATGGAGAAACATGCAAAGCTAAGAACAGAATCTTATTTTAGTCATAAGTATACCCTGCTCTCACTATAGCAGTAAAAGTCAGATCTCCATCATCTCTCCACCCCCAAGAAAGGATAAGGACAGTGTGCATGAAGTAGGGGAGGCTCTGAAGGTATAGAAGAGAATAGAGTCAAGAGGTCTGGACATGAGTGGAGAACTGAGTGAAGAGGTTACAGGAGCAGGGTGGGTCTCACCCCAGGGAAAGCAAGGTCAGCAGTCAAGAAACACAGGAAGCAGAAAGTCTAAGATCAGTAATACAAAGGGCCAGAGGGTGGGTAACTTGGGCTTGGAAGACTGTATAGTGGACATCACAGGCACTCAACAGCACATGCAGGCAAAAGCCACTATAATCAAGAGGCCATGTGTTCATAAAACTTGATGAGCACTGAATTTTGAATTCCATGTAATTTTCATGTGAAGCTAGAATACTATTTTCCTGAATTCTTCAGCCACTAAAAAAGGTAAAAATGAGTTGCTGTGGGATATCTTTCTGCATGCTGAGAATATGTGTTCCTCTCACTGGTTGATAAATAAAGCTGCTTTGGCCCATGGCAAGGCAGGATAGAAACAAGTGGGATATCCAAGCAGAGTTACAAGAGAAGAAGGGCAGAATCTAGGAGATGCCAGCCAGCTGCCCAAGGAGCAACATGCCAGTAAACTGGTAATGTCACAGTCATGTGGCAATACATAGATTAATAGAAATGGGTTGACTTAAATATAACAACTAGCTAGTAATAAGCCTAAGCCATCAGCCACACATTTATAATTAATATAAAACTCTGAATGGTTATTTGGGAACTAGTGGGTGGGGGAGATTCATCTGGTTACATTTGGTGCCCATTGTGGGGCAATAATTTCCACACAAACCCTGAGACAGCTTTTAGAAAAGCTTCTAAAATGGAGCCAAGAGCAGCTCCCTAGTTCATGTCTCTTATTGCAGACCACAGTACAGAACATGCAGAACAGCATCCCCTGGTTGCAGTAGGACTCAGCTGAACATCATGAACTCCCACAGTATCTCATGGGCCATGTTACAAAGAAGCTTCTCCCAGCCGCTACCTATGGGCTTGAGAACACAGTTGTGGGCTTAAGAACACAGTTACATGCTACTTAATACTGTGTCCCAGAGTTGGGGAGGCAAATGTGACTCTTGTTGGTACCTCCACCATGTTAAAAAGGTGAGCTGGGTGGAGCCAGCCACCAAAGCTGCTGCTTTGGTCCTACCCATGCCTGTTGAGCAGTTTAAAAACTGTTCTGGTAAAAAAGGATTACAGATCCACAATAGAAACAGATTTAGATTAAAAAACAAAACTCCAAATGGGTCACATTATGTTTAAAAAAATGTACATAGACTTGGGAGAGTGAAGAGAGAGGGTATAGATAGTCATAAAAATATAATAAAGTCTCTAAAGAGAGAAATAAAACATTAAAAACAAAGAGATGGGAAATACACAGGGAGTCTGGATCCTGTAGTTATTGTGTTGATTTTGAATTTTTTGATTGTTGAAGCAAAAGACAGCTGCTAAAAGACATGGGATTGTGACTTGGACTGCTAAATTGAACCAATCTAGATACTTCAGAAATGCCTTAACTTAAAAAAAAAGTCAAAAATATTTTTGTCAAATGGAAATAAAAAATGCTTTTGAGTTTTATTCCCACAGGAGATAAGAGGGTATGGATTCCTTCAGGAATAATATAGATCAGGTTTGAACAATGGAGACCTCCTGAATCTTGACAGGTGATATCTATCAACAAACGTTACTTCTGATCTACCCAGGAATTGATCATTATCTCAAAATTTTCTTAGGGACCCCTGGGGATGCCTTCACCCACAGACAGCAGGAAACAGTATGGAAAAAAGTATACCCACATTCCCAAGCATTGGGGGATGTGGGTGGTCTTTGGTTATTTGATGGGTTATGGATATTTGTTATAATTTAGAGAAATATAAGAATATAGAATAAAAAGACAGCTATTAATCTCAGATATTTTGCATTGACATGGATTTTGGTACAATGATACAAATTTAAAGTTAATTTTGTTATACTATTATGGTGATATTTTATTTGTACTGAAATGTGATTTTATTTGTATGTTAATAAATAAAGTTGCCTGGGGGTCAGAGCTAATAGCAAGCCATAGCAGAAGCCAGGTGGTGGTGGCGCACACCTTTAATCCCAATCACATGACAACCCATCACAATACCAACCATAGAAGACTTGGAGGTCTGTATAGATAGGCAGTGATGAGGAGGTCATGTGGTTGTGTTTACAACCAATGAGAAGGCAGAACAGAAAGTCAATAAAAAGACAGATACACAGGAAGTAGGTCTCTTTCTGAGGGAAAGGATGGTAGTGTCAGGAAGGGTAAGAAAGGGTTTTTAGTATCAGCTCTTAGCTTTAACTCTGCATTTGGCTCTGTTTTGCTGTGGAATGGTCTGTATGTCAAATGTGTTGCTCTGATTGGTCAATAAATAAAACACTGATTGGCCAGTAGCCAGGCAGGAAGTATATGCGGGACTAACAGAGAGGAGAACTGAGAGAACAGGAAGGCAGAGGGAGACACTGCCAGCCGCTGCCATGACAAGCAGCATGTGAAGATGCCGGTAAGCCACGAGCCACGTGGCAAGGTATAGATTTATAGAAATGGATTAATTTAAGATAGAAGAAGTAGATAACAGGAAGCCTGCCATAGCCATACAGTTTATAAATAATATAAGCATCTGTGTGTTTATTTTATAAGTGAGCTGTCGGACTGCTGGGGTTTGGTGGGACCAGGAGAGAAAACTCTCCAGCTACAGTGTTTCTTATTTAATAAGACTGTTACATCTACACATTATACACATGTTTCTATTCTTGTTTAAAAGATTTTTGTATATTGATACAAATTTAAGGTTATTTTTGTTGCACCATATTGTATATATGTTTCTAGTCTTGTTTAAGGTATTGTACCTATATAGTTCATTTAAAATATAAGGTAAAGTTCTAAATTTTGAAAGCTATTATTATAAACTATTTAAGGTAATCAAGAAACATAGGTTAATAGTCATCTATAACAATCAAATTTATAGAGATGTTAGATATGTTTTCAGAATATATAGAAATATATTTTAGATAGATGGTCTCCAAATACTTCAAAGACCTAAAGAATATGGCATTTAAAATGTTTGGTTAACTTAGGACTTTTCATGACAATGAGACACATTTGCTCCTGGCAACACTAATCCACTTCACAGATGATGGGCATCAAAGAAACTCCTTATGGTGTTTCTTTCAATGTGGTAAGTCTAGCCATTTGGACAAGAAACTGCTCTTGCCTGGATTGCTCAACAATATGTTGTTTAAACTCAACATGCAGGACCCATAGGAAAGTGGCAATTGAACTTTGCCAAAAAAAGGGTGAGATGGTCCTTCAGGGTCCTGCTTCACAGAAGAAATGGCCAGACACTCTGCATACAGAGGAAAGTGACTGACAAACTTTGCCAAAATAGATGGGATAGTGCTTCAAATTTCCTGCTTCACTGAAAAGTTTGCCAAATATTCTGGACTTGTAGGCTGAAGATGGATGCCCCAACATTACAGAAGAATTTTGGGTGACTATCCAGACAGGCAGATATCTGTGTCATTTATAGAATTTTTGAAGTTGTTTACAATGCACTTCCTGTTTACTCAGGTAATATTATATCTTCTGGGGTCTTTGATGGAGTTGAAAACTAGATAGTTATAATATAGTTTTCCTTAATTATGATAAAAGATAAATTAGATATGAAACTTTAGACTCACAA